ATAAAACGCTATTTTAATTCAGTGCCTAGACCTTAATACGTTCACGGTGGGCAAACACCGTATAGCCCAAATGACGTTAATAAAATCGTAAAGCTATAATGAACATTTCACAATATTTTTATAGGTGTAACACTTTCAATACTACTGCGATTTATATACTCAAATTGGTCATTTAACATGTTAAGTTCACTTCAGATGAGGTAATTCCCGGACACCCTGTATAGCTTTTGTAGAGTTACAGTCCTGAATGAATAACAAACATTCAAATATAATATTAATAGATCTAATGAAGATAAAATCACTACAAAACAGTCAACTTTATCAGAAAGAACGTGGATAATCAAGTAAACTCCATAAGTGAGATGGGTAAAAGAAAAACCTCTATAAGCGAGAAAATATCGCGATCCCGCAGACTCTTACTTATCCAGTTTCGACTGTAAACGTTCTTAGATAAAGCACGACGGGAATTGTATCATTCGTTGCATTATATTTGGCTCGTTCACGTACCGACACGTGCTGCCGGTCCAAAGGTCTGTCATCGACTGACGTCCCCTCTCTCCGGCATGTACTTATAACGTGTGTGCTCGAGACAAACAACACTACATTTATGCATACGTTACAGCAACTTAATCATCACTTGTTAAAAGTAACAATAGTTTTTTTTAAGTATTAATTTATCACGTAAATGTATTAATTATAAAATGAATCCGCGCGGGTGGAGTGTAGGCAGACGCAAGGCAATGGCTGGATGTGACGTCAGCGTAAAACTTAGAAGTAACTTGATTTGACCAATACGGTAAACAGCTTGAGTGGTGCTTAAAGTTAACTTTAATTGAAGTGTTTCTGTCTTCATGTTAAGGACACTTACATTCATAAAATATATTTTATACATTTCTTATGGACATTTCAACTAAAAATATTGTTGTTTCAACTTTTTCTAAAAGAAAGAAAGGGATGACTATTGTCGTATATCGAAAATTCTACCCTCTCATACAATATTGTTCATTATTGATAATTATAAATCTAAGCATTTGCCACCTTGACTCGGGTTACGAGGAACTACGTTGACGATGACGAGGTCTTGATATTACATTTCATAGTACAGTCAGCGTCATATAGATCGTCACAGACAAGATATGCAAATATATAGGTACACCAAAAGTAATCAATTATATCGGTACAACAAAAGTCTTCAAAATAATAGATACATTCACCCTGCTCAAATACATCGGTACATACACAGCGTCAAATATATGAGTACATGCAAGATGCTCATAAATATCGTAGCAGCCACAGCGTCATAAGTAACGAAGCAGTCAAGGTGCGCAAAAATATCGGTACATTTGACAAAATTGAACTCTATCTCTATATACTTGTGATACAATTTGGAATAAACTACTTCTGTTACATTCATTTGACACTTTGTATTAACATTATAGGTTGTCCGGAAAGTTCGTTCTGATTTTCGATATAAAGCTTACAATAGACTGTAGCTGAAGTGGATTCATTTTCGGATTTCCACCATTATCAAACGTCACAAAAATATCTATATTGTGAATAATTTCATTTCATTGGTTGAGATAAAAACTAATTTTTAAAATTTTATCCAATAATAAAAGACGTTTTAGGTATAGAGTCGTACCAATATAATTTAAAAACATTTCCAAAAATT